TTTTGACAAAGGTCCTTCACGAGAAGGCAAAACAGTTAGGGAATCATCACTGACCTTGCTACTAGGCTTAAAATAGCGATAGAGAGACATCAGCTTGAGAACACGACTTGTTTAGACAAGAGGGCATGCGCACACGTGTATTCTAGGCGTGGTAGACCACTCCCTTTAATTAATTTATTTTTGGGGGCTTTATTTTTCATGATGCAAACAGTGACCACGAAATACCGAAATTTGTTCCTCACAAATTTTTTTGGCTATACGGTAGTAAACAAAGCCCAAATTAGTGAAAAGTACAATAGAGGGATGGGTAGGGCATAATGCAAGAGGAGAAATCAAGGGGTTGGGAAATTGACTCATTACAACAGGCAAAAGCCAGCTCATCCAGGTTGAAATATAAACGGGTGAGGGACCCCAGCTTCTGAGAATTAAAACATCTTAGTACCAGAAGGAATAAGGGCACATTATTTATTATATTATATGTGTCTATAATCAAAGAACTTGATACTGTATAGTGGGAAATTTTGGAAGGTGTTAAATTTGGCAAATTGCCGAAATTCGGTGTTGGCAAATTAGTGGCCACATGCCAGTAAGCATGCATACAATGGATCAAAATGGCAGATTGTATTTTGGTCAATGGCAATCCAAATGCCCAGTTCGCCAAATTTAAGTCCTTCCAAAACTTCCTGCTATACAGCACATCTGCTTGAAGAAACGAATGCAGTGAAGGAAAAGTCACGTAGCTATATTATGTCCCAACTGAGTTTGGACCAAAAAACTTGAATAACTTTTTATAGGAATTGGGACAATTACAAGACTTTCAAAAGCTCTTAGTTGCCCAATGCCGCTTCAGGATCTCAGATCTTGGGTTTCTCAGCCCTTGGTAACCCTGAGAACCTGGTTCCCCCTATAAACCCAATGGCATACCAAAGCTTGTATCATGGGAAGCCATAACATGAAAGGCACCGCGTTGGGTTTATATCTGGTAGACGATCACATCCGGTGCAATATACATATTTACCAGGATCAGACATACATGTAGCTATGATTAAAGGCACCAACAGTGCAATATATATATTTCACCGGAAGTAATGCTTGGCTTGTTCAGTTGTGATAACAATGATAACAAAAGGTCATTTGTAAAATAGCAAAATAATTTATTAATAAAAGATTTTGTAAATAAACTGATCTAATAGTAGTCTTTATTTCTGCATTGATTGATTGAATTGCATGCCCATTATATTCCAAAATGATTTCAGTCATCGAGATGACCTTTCATCAACAAGTGTAGCTCCCACCAGTCAATTCGAAATGAATTCTGCACCTCTAGGAACATCTAGAGAGTATTCTTTAATGCTGGTAACATTTCTACCGCCACACCGCCATTCAGTAAGTACCTTCATATCTCTAATAGTGTCTAAGGGTTCGAAATCTGTACTAATCTCTTCCATTTCATCAGCACTAATGAAGGCTAACCTTTATTGAGCGCTTTACACACTTTCATTCGCTTCTTTTGCTGTTTTTTTTTTCTCGTGGTTCTCCTTCTCCTTCAACCATATTGGTTCTTTACAGTTGTACCATGTGCTACTGAGCATGCGCATAACCTTTCCTTC